AACTTATAACATCCCAAAGTAGCAAATATTTTTAAAAATCCCTGATGCCTTGAGGCAAAAGGGAGAGAACATCCAAAAGGCAAGGAAGTAGTCGGCCAGCCCCCCTGTTGGAGCAGGTCCGCACACCCAGATTATTTCAGATGCTATTCTAGGCCTCCCAGCAAGGGCAAACACTCAAAAGTTCCCCAGCCCAGGGAGGATGGCGAGAGGCATTGGGAGTTTAATCTGGCTTAATATGGGCACTTCGCTGTGTCCCATGAGGGATTGTCTTCTGCGTTTTTCCAGTGATGCCCTTCTTGGTGCCCCAGTCCTGGTGTGTCAGGGGCAGGGGGACCTGGGACAGCCCCAGAAGGGTCGGGGCGGGGCAGTCTCCACAGCGTTTCCTGTTCGGACACTGTAGGGGTCGGTGTGGATGTTTCGAGTCTTCACAATTATGGAACTGTACTTATGACTGTGGGTTATATAATGACTTCCGTTGGGCACGGATTGGGGTTTCTACCCAGCCTTAGCCTACGCTGACTGCCTCTCTCTCTCCAGACCCTCCAAATGCTCCCACCCAGGGGTCTCAGCCTCTGAAGAATCCAGGGGCCGGTGTGGGGGTGGTGGCTATTGTTTATTTTATGCCCTCCCTGGGATACAGACAGCGTATACCAGTGAGAAACTGAGATGGGACCTCCATGCTTTCCCTGTAGGGGGTGGTCAAGGAGCAAAATGGAAACTCAGAGTGGAAAGTTACAAACACTGAGAAGCCACAGGCCTCTCCCGGAGGGGGATATCACCCCTCTTGGGAAGAGCAGCCTTTCCATCAGCACCTGGTCTATTTTTAGAAGCTGTGTGAATTTTCCTTCCAGCTTAGGATCTTGGGGCTTCCACACGGTTACCCTTGGGCCACCGAGATGGTTGATCTGGGAGTAAAGAGAGAGGTTGACTGCCAGGAGCCCCATTCTCTCCCATCAGAATGCAACCGTGTTGTCTTGCCTCTGTGTTTCTTTCTTCAGAAACACCTTGACTTGGAGGTAGACCCACTGAATCAGAGTCTGCGGCGGGTGGGGGGCGGGGCAGGGATCTGCATTTAGCCAACAGCCAGGAGATTCCCATGAACACCAAAGGGTGAGAGACCTCCGTCTGTAAGTTAGATGTCACCTGTGGCTGTGTGACTGTCCCCGGGCACTGACCGTCTCAAGGCGGCCACTTGCTTATCTGTACAGTGAAGGTGTGGGAGTCCCCATGCCCTGGGATGACCGTGTGAGTCCAGGGACACCTCGTAGCCCAGCAGAGTGGGCAGGGGTAGGGCAGGCGAGTTGTAAGTGCCGGGTAGGCAGCTAGGTGGGCAGACAGACGGATACGTTGGCAGGCGGAGGAACAGACAGGTAGTGGGTGGGTGTGGGGGCAGATCTACAGGCAGTGGTGGTTTGAACAGCGGCTCTGCCCTCTCCCTAGGTTCCCATTCAAGCCCAGTAATTTAAGGACCACGTTCCTATCCCGTGGCTGCTTGAGATGGTCTTTATTTCAGCCTCACCAATGAGTACGGTCTCAGCAGCCTCTTTCCTGCTTGGAGGTTCTGGGGACCACAGAGCCAAGGAGGCACCTCTTGCACTGTGGGGCCCCCCGTTCCTGACAGCTGCCGGGGAGCTTTGGGCTCCCGCTGGGTGTAGCCTGTCAGTAGCTCCCGCCCCGCGCCCTGGGCACCTTGGCTCCTTGGTCTGAAGTCTCCCTGTCAGTTCCCGTTATTTCTTCCCCGGTGTAGACACTCCAGCCCCTCCGCCAACGTGCTCTCAGTTGGGTGGCTTCTTGTGGCCACCCTCTCTTTTAAGTCGACGTGGCTGGTAATTCCTGACCCTACAACATACACAGAGCAAAAGCAAGGCTCCATTTGTTTTCTGTTTCTATTTGTAAAGATTGCTGTCTCGGTGGGACTGTATGTTTTTCCCAGAGGCCCAGCCAGAAAGGACTCTGAAACTCCATTTCTAAAACCAGAGGTGGGGCTCAGCCTCTCTGGGCATCTCTGCAAGAGAGGCAGCTTCTGACCGCTCCCCTGAGGTCCCCTTGTTCCCAGACAGGGGAGCGCCAGAGCCGCCCAGCCACCTGGTCTCCCAGGCTGGGGCGGGAGACTTCACGGCCCCCCTCCACTGGGGGAGCCTACACAGATGACCCAGAAGCTAAACCAGCACGCCCAGAGACTCAGGATCCAGTGCAAAATGCTGTTCATACATCAACATCCCGAGCATCTTGTGGGTCTGTTAGCTTCAGGCCTCAATTTTCCACTCTGTAAAATGGGGGCAGGGGGAATAGCTGAGTTTTAGGGCTTCCCTGGTGGGAAGGAAGTGCCCAGACACCTGGGGCCCTGGCATCAGAATCTCTGGGGCTCTGATTGTTCCACCAAGAACACATGTGAATGAAGCCCGTGGGCTTCAGTGTCAGCAGCCCCCCAGCCCGGGGTCCATGTTGATGACAGTCAGGGCGTAGATATCTTTGCCAGTTTGGGATGTCAGGGCTTGGTGCTCCACATCCCAGGCTCTCTCTCCTGGGGGAGGCAAGTCTGAAGCCTCCTTTCCATTCTCTTGCCCTTGAGATGGGACAGGCTCAGGAAGGCAGGGGATTGGCCCGTCTGCTCCCAGGAGCCTGGAGGGGCTAGGGGAGGGGCTGCTGCCAAGGGTGAGGCCGAAAGTCACATGAACAGGTTTTGCGGTCAGTGGAGGGTGGAGAGATAAGCCTGGGAGACCTCAGCCTGCAGGAGACCCCACGGCAAAGAAACCAACCCACAGCTGAGCTGCTGCTCACATGTTGACCCAAGCGGGACTCTGGCGGGGCAGGCTTCCCCTTTGGAGCCTCCCAGGAAGTGCTGAGGATTGTGCCTAGGGAGAGGACTCCTGGCACCTGCCCTGCCCTGCCCGTGTGCGGGGGGGAGATGGGGGACCCTCCCTTGGTGCCGCTCCCAGGCTTGGGGTCTGCTTTGTCCTCAGGTTCTCCCCCTACAAGGACATGTGCCTTCCCCAGCTCCCAGCCTCGCAAACAGTTCCCAGTCCAGGAGGGATGAAGGCTGGGGCTGAGGGAGACCGAAAGCTGGGGGCCCAGCCTGCCTGCTGCGGGGCTCTCGGGCCCTCGCTCTGGCCTCTGGCCTGGATCTTGGTGGGCATGTCACCCCGGGCCTGCTCAAGGCTCCCCGTGGAGACTGTCCCAGCTGTTGTTCGGAAGTGGACCTCTAGCAATAGCACGAGGCAAATGATTTCATGCAGGGCACTGTTTTGTCCAGGCCCCTGGCTTTGCACGGTGCCCTCCCTCCTGACACCCGTCCTGGGCTCTGCCCCTGAGCTCTGGAGGGCGAGGGTGGCCAGACCCTCCCAGCGGGGTGCTCCGGCCCCGGAGCTCCGCCTCCTCTGAGCTGCACCTGCGCAGGGACCTCCTTCCCTCTTTACGCACATCCTGAGCCCGCGTGACAGAGAGGGACACTTTCCTGAACTGAATGTGCCAAGACTCCTCCACGAGGCTCTGCCGTGGGGCTTTTTTAGATCCTGTCAGCTCCCGAGGTCTTGGCAGAACCCGTCTGGACAGAGAACCAAAAATAACTCCCTGACTCAGGCGGGGGGGCAGCCTCCAGCCCGGGGGGCCCTGGAGACCTGAGGCCGCAGCCAGTGTGTGGAAGAGCAGGGCTCCCCGGCCAGCCGGGCCCTTCTCTGCACGCTCTGACCCATGATCTCCAGGCTCCCTCCAAGGGGCTGGGGAGGCTGCAGGTAGCGCTCAGCCGGGGAGCACCCGGGGTGAAGGGAGAGCAGACCTCAGCCCGGGGACGGCAGGTGTTGGTGCTACGGCAGAGCGTCTGCCTCCGGATCAGACCCGACCTGCAACCTGTTTCCTGCAGTGGCCGGCTCCCTACTCTGCCCCAGCCCTGAAGGCTCACAGTGGGCAGGACACAACTGGGTGGTCCGAGGCAGCCCCGACCCCAACTTTTCTCCCCATCCTTAATCTGAATTCACAGTCTCGAGAACGGCAGCTGCCTCCGCTGAGCCCGACATGCACGTCAGGCACCTTCTAGAAGCTCCCAACTGCTTCAGCCCCTACAGCTGCCCTTTGGGCTTCTGTCCCACGCTCAGAGGAGGGTGACCCTGCTTTACCTCTCGTCCCCTCTGCTGGGGTATGTGGCGAAGGACATCATGAGGGTTTTCTGAGAGATGAATCATCTTACCTCTGAGGAACTGAGAGATGATCCCGCACTAGTTCACGGACAATTCCTTGGGCAGAGCCTTGGGGAACAGCAAGAGAGGGCAACAAGCTTGCAGCCCGGGGCGGCCAGAGCTGGACACTCGGGTCTGAGGCCCCAGGGCATATGGGGTCACTGGCAGGAGTTGGTGAGGACAAGGTAGGCAGGGTTCCCAAGGCAGAGGTCTCAGGACGAGGCGTGGGTTTGGGCCAGGCCATAGAGGACGGGGGGAGGGCGGGCAGAGGACGCGGCAGGCGGAGGGACAGCCAGAGCAAAGGCGTGACGGCGAGGGGGGCATCTGTGCTGCTGAGGTAGGGCGCCGGCCCGCCGTGCTCGCGCGCTAGGCGTGATTGGAGGATGGACATCTGGTCTCCTTTGGGGAGGTCAGCCAGCACGGGGGGCTTGGCCAGAGCCTCGGTGTGAGTCAGTATAACGCTGCGGTGTCCGATCCCACGGTGTGCTATTGGATGGAAAACCCATGGGCCCACCGGACTCCCCGAGCCATGACACCCTTGAGGGCGATGGCTCCTCCTTCCAGGCTGCTGGCAGGACCGCTGTCCCCTGGCTCAGCAGTGGGGAGGCTGTTGGTGGCTGGATGTGGGCCTTGTCAACATCTCCCGATCCCCACCCAGGTCAGAGAAGCTGCTGTCTCCTTGGGGACAGCCAGCCCCCAGAGCCCCCAGGTCATAGGAACCAAGAGAGTACAGAGGGACACCAGCCTTGGGCACCCCCTTTTTCTCCCAGTCCCTGTAGACGCTGGTGAACCTTGGACCTTCCTCCAGTCCCCCTTGTCCTCCCACAGATGGGGACATGTGCACGGGGCCCAGCGAACTTGCTGTGATTCTCAGCAGGGACCAGGCCCACCTTCTGACCGGCCACCAGCCCCTGAGCGATGCCTCCTGCCAGGAAGCTGTGGGCTGTGAGGGACAGTATTTACGTGGGAGGGCCCACGGTTGCTCCTAAAAGCAGAACAGACAGGAAATTCGGAGAGGGGAAGGGATAGGCTGGTAAAAATAGGTGTGGACCCAAGGCAGCGGCCTGCGGTGAGGAGGGCGGTGCCGCTGACGGGGATCTGGGTGCGGACCCCGCCCCCCCAACGGCCTGCAGGCGGCTCGGCCCTCCTCACGGCCTCTGCGCTCCCACCAGCACAGAGAGATGGGACGCCCGGCGCTGGGCTGGGGTGTCAGGGGTCTGTCTCTGCAGTCCTGCGTGATGGCGTTAGCGCAGACGCACACCCCTGCTCTAAGTTCTTAGGGAGAGACCAGCTTCTGCGGCCTGGCCCGTCCCCCACTCTCCCCCCGCTCTGCGGGATTATCCCGGCTAAACTGTGTCCCTGGCTTAAGTCACTGTCGGTCTTCTGAAAGCACCGGATCCTCTTGGACACTTGCTGACTGGGCCGTATCTACCTGCCGATTGGCTCCTGGGGCTCGGGAACTCCAGGCTGGCGGGATTCGTTTATTCTGGAAGACCTAAGTGGTTGTGGAGTCTTCGCTGGGGCAGCAGGTGCAGCCTGGCAGGCCCACAGGGCTGTGGGAAGGGCCCTGGGCTACAGAGAGAGCTGGGTCCCAGCCTCTACTGTCCCCAAGTGCTGGTGTGGCTCTAAGTACCCCCCCCCCACCCCGGCCTCCATTCCTGAGATGGGCAGCACCGAGGCCACCTCTGAGGCCCGGTCCGTCCAGCTGCCCTGCTAGGTCAGCGCCTCCAGAGTCCCCGCTCTCCAGCCTCAGGGCTCGCCCCAGGCAGAAGGGACCTTTTCCCCCTGCGGGAGATGCTCACAGGCTCTCTAGGGAAGGAGGGGGGCCTTTCTCCTAGTCCAGGTCTAACTGGCCCCGGGATATGGAGCTGTGGGTTCTTCCCAAAGAGGTGTCTTGGGAGCCTAACACACGGAGCTCGGGATGTTCTCTTCCCCGGAGGCTTAAGGGCTTGAGCTACTGCTGTGCCCACTGCCTGGAAGAAAAAAACCATGTCGTGGCAAGGCCGGTCACCCCCATGTCCTGCTCTGGCCCCTCCGGCCCCAAGCCCCTGGGGTCCAAGGGAGGGAGGCGGTTGGGGGGCTGCTGCTCCTCCCTCTCCCTGTCCACCCTGGCCTCAGCTGCTCTGTTTGGGGCGGGGGAGCTTGTCTGGACTTTGGGGCTAGGGGTGTCACCGGGGAGAAGAGAGGCAAGAGCAGCTGACACCCTGACCGAGGCGGGCAGAGGGACCCGCATCCTCCACAGTGGGTAGTCGGTCTCAGGCCAAGGGAGTCACTCCTCTGTGCTGTGTTCTGTCTTCCAGCCTGCGGCAAGCTGACAGGCATCAGTGACCCTGTGACCGTCAAGACCTCGGGCTCAAGGTTCGGGTCCTGGATGACAGATCCTCTGGCCCCAGAAGGTGATAACAGGGTAAGTGCTTCCTCTGCCGGGCCTGGGTCCGAGGGTGCTGCGGTCACCCAGGGGGACAAGTGAGCCTGGTCTCCATCCCCTGAACGTTTGGCCCTCACGCTAATGCCGTGTGCCCACCTGTGCCAAGAACCGCCACAGCCGCGCCCCCGCGGGTTTGTTCCCCACCCCCCCCACCGCCGCTTTGGGGAGGGGCTTAGGTCCTGGCTGAGCTCCCTGTGCTAACCCCGAGTCACAGACCACAGGGACGGGGTCGGGGCCCAATATGGGAACAATGGTGACAATTGTTAGAGCAGGGCACCCCTGCCAAGCCCTCCCCAGCTCCGCTCTAGGGGAGGGGAGCTCCCAGCCACCCCAGCCCCACCCCTGCTCCAGGAGGACCGTCCCGTCGGGCAGGCATTCCTTACGTCAGTGGCATCTCATTTGTATCAAGGCCGATGGAAACGCAGTTTCCTTTTTGATTTAGGGAAGAGGCTGTGTTCGTTTACCCCCTGGATAAAAAGTCAGAAAAGGAGAGAAAGGCAGGGCCCGGGTTGAGCCTTGTGAGCCCCTTTGGGGGTGTGGGGTGAAGGCTGGCCGGCTGAGCGCGGGGCCACCTGGGCGTGGCCGTTCGGTGGCCCTCAGAGCCTCTGCCAGAGGAAGACTCGCCTAGGGCTGTCGGGAGGAGGGACAGGTCTGGGCATGTAACCGTTGGCTACACCTCAGGGCACAGAACAAGCCGGAAGTCTGGGGCGTCTCCCACCCACCCCCTGGCTTTCGGGGACGGGCAGGACATTTAGAAACTGATCACTTTTTAAAAAAATCTCTGCTCTTCCTTTAGGCGGGATTGAGAGGGGCTGCTGGGTCTTGTCTGGGGGACCCTTACTGGGAAGGGAAGGGTCGCTTCCTCTCCCCGAGATTTCTGGCCCCGCAGCTCCCCTCCCCCACTGCCACAGCTGCGGGTGGCAAGCGTCTTGTATTTTGGAAGTGAGGTGGCCCCGCACTTTCTGCTGGGGAAGGTTGGGGGGCAGTGACCGCCGGCCCGTGGTGGCTGCCATCTGTCTATCCACCCTCCCATCCCCGCCCCCAGGGCAGCTCACACCAGCCTCGGCTGCCGGGGACTCTGGAGGGGCCAGTTGGGGACCGCAGACCCGGGATGCGAGTGCGGACAGGTGTTTGGGCGATTTCTGTTCTCTTTCCCGAGTCTGGACGGTTAGCTGCTGCTTGCACATTCTCTGACGGTCTAAGGGGCTAATCGTAATCCCGATGGGTCTTCTGGCCCACATCCCCCGCGGTGAGCCCCAGCTCTGCTCCAGGTTCGGCTCCGCACTGGCACAGCGGAGCCCTCCCGTGCGCGGTGATCCGTTAGTCCGCGCTCCCGGCCCTCGGTGCACCCACCGCTCTGCCTGCCGGTCCTGGCTGGGCGTCCAGTGACCCTCCAGCGACCTGCCGGTGTGGAGGTCACCGTTACCCGTGCTGTTTGGTGGGAAAACCCCGGTCTAGTCTTGTGCCCACGGTCTTGGGAAAGGGCGGTCAGCGGTTTCACTAACAAGCGTCTACAGCAGTTGCCCCAAGACTGCCCCGTCCCTCCCCGCCCACCTGCCGTCTGCCTGCCCACCGCACACGCCCCACACACCTGGGTCTGGGGGTTTGTGCCCACGCGTGCCTCCGGCCCCACTGTGACATCCTTTCCTTTGTTGTAAGCAGTGCTGCTCGGAAGACCCTTTCTCAGGTCCCAAGTATCGGGGCTCCGGGAAGCCTGGCTCTTTGCCCCAAACGGGGAGGCTGTCTGTTCGCAAAGCTGTTACGGGGTGGGAGACGCTCTTGATAACTGGACACCTGTTTTCTGCTTGGTGACCAGATCGCCGTCCAGAAAGTGAGGCCCCGGGGATGGACGGAGGCTGCAGAGAGGGGGCAGCGGGAGGAGGCTTCCGTGGGGAGCTGCTGGCAACGGGAAGGGGGGAGCGGAGCCTGCTGGCAGGGACGCTGGGCAGCTCTGCCCCACACCTGTGTGGTTGGGGCCATTCCAAGCCGTGCGCTCAGCACAGCCACCCCCAACTCCCAGCGCACTGAGTGACGCCTCCCCAGGCCCTGCCACTGATCTGGAGGACAGATGTTTTGTTTTGATCTTTCTTATTCTCCCTCCCAGTTTGGTCACACACGGGGCAGGCTGCCAGGGGGTGTGGTCAGAGACACATGGCCAGAGGTTGGGGGGGGTGTGGTCAGAGACACATGGCCAGAGG